CCAACATTGTGGCTGATGATGGCGTTCTAACGCCGAAACGTCCTACGGTTCTTCCGTACGATTTGCGCATTATTTCGGTCAGTTAGTATTATTATTATTATCATTATTACTATCATTATTATGATTCGATTATTATTATTATTATGGTAGATATACAGACCGTTGCAAAGGGCCAAATAAATCGTCAGCGTTAGAGGTGGGCATTGATGGTGCGCCTGCCGCTAGCAGTTCTTGAGCTTGTGTGCGACTGGATGCTGTTGCTCTCCTGAAACTGAATCGGATCTTGCCTCAACTTTTGGATCGTTGCTTTGATTACTGCAGCCAATTAGCCATTATATTAGAAACAATTGTGAGGGGCCTTCTGAACAGTTCAAGTACTGAGATCGTATGCAATAAATTTTGATCGCTGAATAGGTTATGTGGAAGTTTTGCAGAGAGACTAAAGTTTTTGTGGCACTTGTTTACCATCAGCAACAGAAAAGGAAAAATGAAATCAGTTCACCTCAGCGGTGGATCACTTGCAAGATTTTTTGCGTTGCTTAACCCAGTGTCAACTTCGTCAACTCTACGTTGTTCATCTTTCTGAACAGTCTGCAGATTGATTTATTTATCTCACTTCACATTATCAGTTCATGATTTTTCCCCTCATCTGGGCATCTTTTGTGAATCGAGTAATCATTTCTCATTTAGGACAACCAATATCGCCCCCTTCAACTCATATTAGAAATGAACACAAAAATAAATAATGTACAAACGTAAATGTACTCTTTTTGTGGGTGTTGGTGTTGTTTGGTCCAAGAATGAAACGGCTGGCTTTTTATTGGCTGCTGACAATAAATCATTCAGATTTCTTTTCGGACGAGCCGCTTGCTGCAAAAAAATTTTTTTTCACTGCTGCAATAAATGCGTGATGAAAACCAAAAATCACATTGCTCGCTTTTGTTTCATAAAATTGAAGAGTGGAAACAATTTATTAAATATACATTCATTTTCATAGATGAGTACTAAAAACTAAAAGCAGAATGCATATCGTCTTTGTGGTGTCCTTGTGCAAAATACACTCATTAAAGATTCGATCGTATTGAATGTTTTCATTCCAAAAGAGCCGTTGAAGGAGAGCAACTGAATACAAGACAAACTTCTTTATTTTTTGAGAAGAGGTCATCTAGATTGCTAAGTCGTTTCTTTGTTCCTTGCTTCTTTTTTCCTCCGAACAGTTCATCGTCAAGATCGTCGATATCCTGAATATAAATAAATCTCCTTTTTTTCGTCAGATCATAAAGCCAATAGTGAAAATTTCATAACATACTTTCCACTGAATGTTGATTGCATGCTGACAAAGGGCAATTTCAATTTTTGGTTGTTCAACACAGGAAAAGAGGCGCGTTTGAATTATTGACTGTATTAGAGTAGAAGCTGTTCTTCTACTGCGATAGTACACTAGTTTTAGCAGTAATACAATGGAACGTCAATCGTTTTTGATATTATAAAAGAATTATACCTCCATTTTAACCGCTCATCCAAAATTTTCACTATTTTCAACGTTGTTCTTGTGAGTACGCCACTGATGGTAGCAACTTCATTTAACAACGAGAATTGAGTTGATTTTATGCTGTTTTATAGCGGAAGTATATGAGATTGAATAGCTTTTGAATGGAATGACTTGATGGTGAGAGTAGAGTGAAGAATGTGAACAAAAATACAACAGAATTTAATTACGCATCTATAGAAAAATGAAATTTGCTGACACAAATGGAAAGCGTATTGATAGGAGCACTTACTCCAAGAAGATTGTCAATTCCTTCGGAATCGCTGTCGGCCATTCGATTTTTGACAGTTTGCTTTCTTTGTCCAAATTTTTTTGACAGTGAAAATCACGACGAACGTAATGCTTAAGATTGTAATTTTAGATCTACGTTAATTTCTTTGAATTCAGTTTTGATCCAACTTTTTGCAGACTTTAGGTCATTCAATTCAACTTCCAGAATGGAATTATTCAGTTTCATAAATTCATTTAAGGATGAAGATGTACTAATAAATCAATAGTGTTGAAATATTGGATAAAATTGCAAGAATTCTATAAAATATTGTATGCAGTTTAGTTGCAACAAAATTTTAGACTGGACATGAGCAGAAGAATTTTTTACTTCCACTCATAATTCCATTTTCAATGACTGAATATTCGAAGATCAAAGATTCTGAAATTTCGCTTAATTGAAACAAAGCAAACGCTCATTAAACATGTCCAAATCGTGTCTAGAATGAGATGAATGAATATGAAATGAGCGCTTCATGCGAACCAATCAGCCAACTCGATATTGCTATTTGTAACTATGGTAACGTCGTAATTCAAGATAATATGCGAATTCGAACGTGGTATATATTTACATATGTGCATGCATATGTTGCCCTATTACTTTATTTAGTGGTCGTTTGTTCGCCGAAAGTTTTCGAAGTATAGAACAATAAAAACGATTGAACAAATTTCGCGACACATTGCCAGTTATAATTAGAATTAATTTTATAATATGGATCTGCAGATTCGTGTAGAATATCAGTTACTAAATTTGATTGTTTCGCACAAAAAAACAAAACTAGCAACCGTCGTTCTGTCTGGAATCGATTTCTTTTAAGTGTTTATTCATCCTCAAATGAGATGAGTCACTGCCAGAATGTCTATTATAAACGTTATGATAAAATGAAATGCTCCAACAAGTTGACGGCATCCAAATTCATCAAATCGAGATCATCCTCTGAGCAAGCAATATCAGTGAATCATCCGTGAACGCAGGGCATCGATTCACACAAATTGTTCGGTCATGTTTTTGTGTGCAAAAGAGATGTCACATTTGTTTGCTAATGAATTTAATTTCATTTTAAGGTTTATGATTATTATGACAATTAACATTCTAATGGTGTAAATGAAAATTTCACACTCGGTATATGATCAATGAGCAATTATGAATATCTTCTATAATATGGAACGCAATCATTACATTAATATTAACAACTGTTGCTTATTTCTATTATATATATATATATATATATATATATATATATATATATATATATATATATATAT